AGTTTCCACTTTATGTAGAATTAATGAACATCTACCTTCAGTAAAAATCTCAGCTGTATCTATCTTTTTGCTCACTGGAATGGTACTTATTGGTATTGGATTTGGCTTCAAAAACTTGGTTCTACCTTGATAATGGCTCTCAAAAATCATGTGATTCTGGATACTGGCACACAGATTGTAGAAATTCAATCTCGGGTCTACAACGTTATGAAAATATCAGTGTCCAATCTGTCAAAACAGAATGACAATCTAGTTAATTTCGCAATCGCCAGATGAAGTCGGCAACGGCACAGATCATCTTTCATGTATGACAGAAATTAGAGATAAAAAGCTACCTTGATGCTCTTATTAATGTCATTTTCGACAGAAAGCATGTTGTTTATTGTCTTCTGTCTGTATTTGAAAAATAGTCTTTCAAAAAGTCAAGAAAGCCTATATAAGAGCTTAGGTCCTTGCAACTTTCTGATCAATAAGAAAAGCTTATCTATCCATGCATTATCAATATAAAAATTCATGTGGAACACAAAGTCGATACTGCTATGGCATCATTCATCAAAAATGCTGACACATTTAAATAGTTCAAGGCTAAAAACTTCCTCTTTTCTAGCAACCTCGTAGTTTGAACATTCGACGATGTGAATGTGGAGAAAGGTGACTTTTGTTCACTTCAAATCCACATGGATATTTACATTCACACCCTTAGTAAAAGGCACACGAATAGTAGTATAAACTTCGGATGTAATTCGAAAAAAATGTTAGTTTTAATAATTGTTATATATTATACGCAGACTTTCTATAGAACATGTAAGTAAATTATTCTAGCTTTTACCGATGTTTAGCAAGTCTTTCTGGCTTAAATTTATATTCTCGATATTAGCGAGAAAACTGTATAAATACAACTAACTAGACTCATTTGTTATGTCATCCTAATCAGGTAATTAACTCAGAAAGAGTTCTCAAAAGAAAAAAAACAGATAAAAAATAATAACAACTTCTTCACTTTTACACTTCTCTATACACATAAATTGAAATCAATAAAAAATCTTTCCAGACACTTGATTAGAAGGAAGTATAAACTCACTGTGTGATGTATGGTAGTAATCTTTGGACTGGATATTTCCACGAAATGCATGGTAAATAACGCAAGTTTCAGGTTTATCATGCAAGTCGGGATACAAATCATGATCAATTACTCGGAAAATTGACTTTTTTTCCTCTTGTTGCATTTCAACTTTCTGCAAATTGTTAAAGTATCGCAATTGTTTGTACCAGTTTTGTTTGTCCTTTTCTTCCCATTCATATGCGATATGTAATAAATAAATATTATTATCATAATACTTATCCATCAAATCTTCAATAGTTGTCATTTTCTTAAGTAGAATAGATAGATTTGGTTCTTTTCTTCCACTATCTGAGCCTTTTTCAATTGTCATTTGATCGAATCGGCCCAGAGCTTCAATTTTAGCATTAATTCGTGCATTTTCTTTCAGGAATCGATTGATAGACCTTGGGGAACATAAGTTTTTCTCGTGAAAATCATTCAACAAACCTATCATTCCATTGTCATTAGCTTCACCACGTCGAATTTGTTCGAGTAATAATGCTATGTCACGTTGTGTTCGTCCCTCTGCATCCACTAATTTTCTTTGATGTATATGAATAACATCTGTCCAAGCTGGTGAGATAAAATCTTTCCATTGTTCAATTTTAGCCAGAAAGTCATTGATTATTCGTTTTCCTCTGTGTATTTCCTCAAAAACATTTTCAATACTATGCATCGTATCATTGGCAATTTCTTTAATAATACTGAAATGAAGATACGTAAAAATATAGATATTTATATCAAGTTTTGAATATATATTACTACCGTTTTTCAATGTGTAATTCATACTTGAAAATTTCTGCCATACGTTTCAATGGATATAACTGGAATTCAAGTTGCTTACCTTTCCCTTCGTTTAATTGTTTCAACATAGATGGTACTTTTTTAAAAATATTAAAAACATCGTCTACAGTATGCGGAACATCGTCTATTAGAACATCACCGGAGAAACTAATCTTCAATGAACGAAATTTCGAATTTGCTTGCTCAACGTTCTCCAATTTTGCTTGACCTTCAACATTGACCGTTGCCTTTTTCAACGATGCTGATAGTAAACCTTGAAGTTCCTCGGCTGCTTCTGAATTGTTTAGCATTTGTTCGAAAGTTGCTGCAACACGTGCACCCCATGTAATACCCGTAATGCAATGTGTTGCATTTGTATTTTCTAATGCATCCGGTATAAAATAATTTTGTAAATCCGCCATACTAACTTGCAGATGTTGTTGCTTTGTTTTAACATTAAACATCAGCGTTACTCGAACTGTTTGACTGTCAGCTTTTGCTTGATTTAAATATTTTGCTGAACCATCGACTTTAACTAGGCCAGCCATAAGACTTAGTTTCATGGATCCTTCTATATTAAGCTTATTAAGTGTATCTTTTTGAGATAGATTTTCATCCACATAAAAAACTGAACTTGCACAATCTGTTGTGGAAATCAATGATGGTGCCAGTTCTCGATTGAATAAGTTTCCACCTTCAAATTGATCACTACGAATATCATATAAACTGCCAATGAATCCATGTCGACCAATGGCTTGTTTTGAAATTGCCGAATTGATGCCACTCATTTGTCAACTAACAAAAGTAAGTCAAAGTACACGGTGTAGTTTATCTGAAATGAAAAACAATGAGTTCTGCAGTCGAATGTGTTACTTGTATTGGTACGATTTATTTGATATACTGAAATTACAGACCTAAGCAGTCGTGGACAACAGACGCGAAACTACTTGTCTTGAGTTCAATAGTAACGGAAAAACACTACGCGACATCAATGAGATGAATTCCGTTGCTCTGGAATAAGTCAAATCCTGTGAAAATTTGATTCGCTAGAAAATGTTGGCTAAAGTTTTCACTAGTGCAGTTTTTTTTATTTTTGTGCACGTTAAAATTTGTATTCAGTATGTTGAGAGGATTAATGTGGGTGTAAATTAAGTTATTTTTATCAACACTCACACCCTCGACCGGTGAGGTTTTTTGACGAAAGCGCCCGCAACTGCTGCATAAAAAGTGCTATTCAGCAACCAGCACAACTACTCTGAGAAATAGCATAGACTCCATGACGAACGTCAGCAAGGAATAACGAATCAGCAGAATTCCGAAACTCACTTGCTGGCGTCGAATGCTCTTGCTTGTCAGCAAATTCATTTCGGAAATACCAATATTCGATGCGAAATCAAATTCTGCGTCAAGCACATACACAGTCACGAATGTTAGCAAAGATTAATAGTAGAATCGCTAAGAGAACGCAACTTTTCGCCCATAATCCCTATTTACCGTAATACGATCTCCTTCGAAAACATCATCATTCCAGAAGCAATTGAACTCTCCATTCAGCACAAGCACTTCTGGAGTGAATGTCAACAGAAAATGTGTAACCAATTGGCCTTGGTGCCGGTATTTCGACCCTAAGAGCCCTCTATGATGAATGAACCTCGATGAAAATACTATTCGATAGAGAATTCAATTCTCTATGCAACATAGCGAATTGAGAGGTTAGTAGACATTTTCCTATGAGTCCGATGTAGGATCAGTGGTCGGCTCAATAGATTATTGTGTTTTGGGGCCATAACCAGATATTTTTGTCGTATGATCCCCATCGAAAATAGCACCATTCGATGCCGAATCACATTCTGACTTCAGCACAACCTATTAGAGAGCTACCACAGATGTAAGAACGACTGTCAACAAGAAAAACTGGAATCTACTGCTAACTTTCCTTATGCTATACAATCCATGAAGACATCGTCGATGCTTCTCCTTTGCCGCAAAATAAATCGAATTTACGGAAATATTTCACAAACCTTCTGACCACATTCCAATATGAGATACTCAGTAGCTCACTGAGTACGGTAACTCGAAACAAGGGATATAGCTTTGTTGCACAAAATATTTGACCATCAAAAACTAGATAGCACACATCAGTAGAGCTGGCCAGCTTATATTCGCGACCAGAATAGCAACGGCACAAAGGTTTCCTGGACGGATCCAGGAAATGCTTTTCAGGGTAGGTGTTCTCCATGAAAAAAAACCGAAAAATCGGTTCTTAAGGTGGCTGGTTTGAACTATGGAAAATCTGATTATACCAATCGATAGAGTTTGTTCGGTTCTACTTGAAAACCAGAATAGAACATTTGGAATAAGTTTCTCGCGATTTCGTGGCAGAAATACTCGAATACGTTGACAACTTCATCTACGTTAAACTTATAAGACTGTATAAGCACCGGTAGGATAAACAGGATAGATACAAATTTCTGTTAAAAAATGCGCTATTAACAAAAAAAAGAACTTACTGTAAAATATACATTCTCGAACAACATTTTTGCGTTTTAATAAAAACAAAACTCATGCCAATACGTTTAAAAATGTGTCTAAAGTCTAGCGAGAAGATGCGAGCGGAAAAAAGCGCGTTCAAACTGTGTTTTTTGTAGTATTTTTTCGTGGAAAGACTTTCATTTCTCATAAAGTCATTTTTGAAAAGTATAGTCTACTATTTTGACATTGTCACTAAAATGCGGTTTATCGATCGGTCGGGTCTTTAACACATGAAAAAGCTTCTCTTAAAATATATAATTCTCAATTTCAAAAAGTCCCTCAAACACTATTGATATTTAACAGTTTTCACTATATTCTGTAACTTACTGAGTGTCGATACTAGTACCATACGGAATATTCTGCTTGTATTAGTCTTATCTAATCCTTCTCTCTCTCTCTCTTGTTATCTCGAGAAGGAAGCATAAAAAATGTTCTTCATAGTCTTGTGATGTTGTCTCAACTGGCATAGAAAGAGCGACTGAATGTAGAAAAACATGGTATGATAGAATGGTGAAGAGAATAAATATTGACGTGACGTGATTATTTTACACCTATTCTTTCTTCTCTCGTCGTATTTTTATCAAACAATATATACATCCACAAGCTACAGGCAAGCTTTTTCCTCTATTTCGCCATTTTTTTCTTTTTCTCGTCATTTACAGAAGGAAGACATAAAACGGCTTCCCCATAGTTTTGTGACGCTCTCTCAACTGATCCAGACGTGACTACTTGATGTAGAAAAAAAAATGATAGGATGGCGAACAAAATAAGTATTGGCTTAGTGCAATCCTTTTGCGCTGATTTTTCTCTCTTCGCTTACTCCATTTTTATCACGTAGTATATACACCAACAAGCCACAGGCTGGTTTTTTCTCTTCTTTTATAGTGGGAATCAGTTCTGCTATGCATATTTGTATATATATATATGTNCGAATCAAGTAGTTCATTCTCTAAGACATTTGTTTATGGTAGTTGAAAACATTGAAAAAATTTTCAGCTCTTTATTGATTTTCATATGGAATCTTACTTTCAATTTGATCGATAGTTAATTTCTCTTATACGAATTCGATAGACAATATCACTACAAAAAGACATTATCTGCCGTTCTTTCTCATGCATCATTTTAAAACTAGCATCATTCAATAGGAGCATGTCTTGTTTAATAATGAATCCATATCTCAATATGACAAATTCTGTTCGATGCTCTACGAATCGATCGACCAAGACTTGCAATTCAGTTTCAAATATATTCTTGTTCAGAAATATAGTCAAAGAAGTGAGATGATCAAATAGATACTTTCAGGTGTACAACGATCTATGTCTTATATATCAAGATTTGGAAAACATATTGACGATAAGAATAAGTCGTGACTGCTAATTGTAAACGAAATTTTGCGCACACAATCGTATGATTAAAAGTGTTGATCATTTGGACACGTCGATTTACACCATTCATCTACGTCGAAATTCATCAAAACAATATGGTAAAGTATAGAGATATAGGTTGTCACGTTGTTCGTGTGAATTCCAATAATACCGAACAAACCACTGATGTTCGTCAAGCCAAAACGGAGTTCGAAAAGTATTGAGTAATGCATCAAGTTACTTTTGCATATTTGTATTATCTGAAAAGTGATTACACATTCCGAATCAAAGTTTTTCGAATTCGGCAAATGATCGACAATCATATGTTTCCATTCATGTCCATTCAAGTGCATACTATATGTCTTTATTGTTAAATGGGACAAATACAGAGTACTTTTCAATAAATCGATCATTGTAGCTGAATCAAAGTTGACAATGTTCAATTTCTTGATCAATGGAAATACATTTACCAGAGGTCTTACGCTCATACCCACGGTAGTGGAGGATCGCGTGAAAATGCCGAGGTCGACGCGTATACTTGAATAGACTATCTCGATCAATTGAGGTAAAACGAATAGATTTTGCCGAAACAAATTCGATCGATCACGAGATCATCGTCATTCTCCGAAATAGCGGAGTATCGATGTCAACAATAATGAAGTCACACTGTGTCAACTTTGGCAGATGCCAGATGTTGTTGATCAAGTGAACAGCATCGTTATCTGTTTTAGAAGATCAGAGTGTGGGTATAGCTGTAGACACAATTCACATCATAGTGCACATCCACACCGCTAATTGATTTAAATGAATTACACAGATAAAAAAGAAAGGAATATTAATTTAGAAGCTGTAAAGAAGTGCGTCTAATTATTGTAGACAGGTGTTAATCATAAATGTATAACCAAATGATGAGGACGTATATCATTATAAAGGTGTTGTTTGATGGGGTTAGCACTATTTTGATCAAGATTTATTCACAACGTTGAAACAAGCTTTTACCCTTTTAGTGTAAATTGTTTTGGCTAATTTTTGTACCGATCAATGTTCGCTTGCCCACTTTTGGAGGATGCACTATGGTCATAAAATTTCGATTTTTCAAACGTCCATTATTATCCTTGTTCTCGAACTCATTACTATGGAACTTTTCCGAGCCATTTTATTCAATAAAATCTATTTTCTATTATACTTGGTTCTTTTTAAAACATCAGATAATGTTTCAATATTTATGAACAGATGAAATATAGAAAAGGTACCTAGAATCAGAAAATAAAAAAGTAAATATCTTGCTGAGAAAAATAATCAGACTATATGTAGTATGTAACTGATGCGACAATAATAATAATTTTTCTGTGAATACAAGCCGAATAGAATCCAAATGATGGTTCTCTTATTTGTTTTCGTCTCTGGTGTGTATATAGTTGCGGCTGTACTTCGAAGCCTGCTGACACCCACGTCCACACCCACATAGAAATGTGTCTCAAACATATGGCAAAGCTTTTCAAGTATTCAATATTAGAATCTCTGATCAAAATCAACACAATTAACTCATCTATTGAGTTTACATGAAATCGAAAAAATCAAACGAGACGATTGACTCTAGATTAACACTGAAATAGATATGATGATATTTGAAGCGTATTAATATGCATTAGAGATTAGTCTTGTTTGGAAAACTCAAGTTGGAAACAAAGTTCGAACTTTGTCACCTTCGAAGATATACTGAAGAACAGCTGTAAAAATAAAATGAATAATTGATTTCGTTCGTGTTGAAATGTTGCGCTAGGTAACTGCTTCTGTTTTTAATTATCAATAAAATCGATGTGCATCAACGATTCCAATTCGCTACCAGTAAGAGTACTCAATTGATCGAATAGAGCCACTTGAAAGCTCGCTGCTCCATGAACTGATGCACTGAGAGTAGCCTGTTCTGCACACACACCCATGACAGCGAAACCGCCGACAGCTGCGACCAAATAATCGTTATTGACACCGGCAAAGCAAGCCATCAGAGCACTCACTGTGCATCCTATACCGGTAAGTTGATTGAGGCGTTCGCAATTATTCTTAATTATCACTGTCTGATGTCCATCAGAAACATAATCCTTTTGACCACTAAGTGCCGCAATAGTTTTTCCATTTCTCTTCTGAGCCAATTGGCGTACAATCTGACCTGGATCGAGCACGCCGGTAACGGAGTCAGTTTCATGAATATGAACTGTGGTATCATAAATGTGCCTTATGTCGCTCGAATTACCTTTCAAGATGGCAATATCGAGAGAATTGAGTAATTTAAGAACAGCTTCCATGCGATAGGTCGTAGCTCCGACTAGAATCGAATCAAATACGATCGGAATCTCCTTGTCGTTGGCACGCTGTCCTGCAAGATGCATTCCTTGAACCCATGGCCCACTCAGTGTACTAGAATCCATTGCAAGTGCATCAGCCAGTGAAACCATGTCCTCGACCTCCTCAACTGCATGTGCCATTAATGACTTGGCACCAACATGAATTATAGCATTACCGGTTTGATTCATCACAGTATGATTCATAATCTGATAAATTATCGGTCTTTTTTGCCGAATTGTATCGAATGTATGAGCCACGGCTTTCTTTAATGACGATACTGACATCGATGACATTCTAAAGATAAAACAAAAACTAGTGCGTATAATTCATAGACGCGTAGTGCTCAGCATGAAGTCAATCTGTATTCTGCATTCAATATCGATTATAGAGCGACACGTTTTGCGACTTCAAATAGGACATAAAATATAACTAGAATCGTCTTGTTTAATGCGAATAGAAATTTTGTGCTCACATGGACGTGTGCATATCGGCAACAATCTATAGCGATTTCAATAAACATAAAAAATACTGATATTTTCTCTAATCCTCTTTAAATCCGCAGAGCACAATTCGCGATTAAACGTACGTTACTTATCAATTCGATTAACGATATTTGCACAAGATTATATGCGTTTATGCGTCTTGGTGATAAAACAAAAAAGGCATCGTCAACGTAGCAACAGTGATAAAGCACCGATTGACGTTAGAAGAAATGGAGAAAAAACAAGAATGCTGAGGAAGAAAGAAAATAAGACTTTCGTGAGAATAAATGAATGGCGACACCCAATAAGATGTTTGGTGTATATCTTCGACGTAAATAGCAGCTTATATCGCTGTTTTCTTACGTTTAATATAATTAAGATATATCACTCAATGATTTTAGTTAGTATTCTATAGAACTCTATCGTCAAATGTGTAAATATGTTTAACAATGAAAATTTTGATTGTTTGGCATCGTTTCAACAGTAACTATGTACACTATGATGCTTCATGCATGTTCGAAACATATACTATTGTCCGTTTCAAAATATAGTGTGCACCACTGTTTTTTGAATAACTCAAAAATACAAATATCTAGAAACCTGCGATTTTCACTAATCGACAGAAGAGACAAGGGAACACCTTTTTCTTCAATATTATATAAGACAAAATCATTTTAAAAATTCATCTTTTCTGCAAGACATCGAGAAAATGTATAAACACGGTCGGCCATTCAGATGAAATTTTGACAATTAGCAAGACAATTCGCTTAAAAAATAAAAGAAATTTATAGTTTTCGTGCGAGTAAATCTATGATATTATCTGTTCAACATTAGGATGCGGGAACGTAATGATGCGAAGTATATGTTGAACTACAGATCTAAAGTTCCTCTGTCTAGATCACAAATCAAGTTTCGAATAGATAAATAAACAGCAAACGTATATCAACTTCAGGTTTTATATTGATCATTTCATTTTAAAATTGGTTCTTTCACTCCTCCTTAGGATTTGAATATATGAGAAAATCATGCGTAGGTTCCGTCTTAAGAAGCGCATTCCTCGACAAAAATCTTTCATCTCTTTGTCTTTTTAGGTTGTCAAATTTTGAATTAAATTTATTACTGAATAGAGATACTACATGAAAGTTTTATTTCATTTTGATGTACACATCAAACTTCTAATAAAACTCTCATGTCATATCTTTACTCAGTAATAAATTTGATGCAAAGTATGACAGCATAAAAGAAAAAAAAAGAAAAAGACTTGTTCGAGAGTGTAAAATGATTTGTTTCATATTTTTATAAGTTAGTGGAAGTAAATAATTTTCGTAGTAAGAGCTAACAATGATTGCAACATATACTATGAGTGTTGAAAAATTCAGGTTTTAAACTGAACTTTAAAAAATCTGAAAAACTCAGAAACTCATTTTAATATGTTTCAGAGCATATTAAGGAACGATTTCAAACTTTGCATAGCATTTGTAAAAATTTTCTAAAACATATCAGAGAGATATTGCTGAAACTCGCGAAATACTATACAACTATCAATGCCATTGTAACAAATACGGACACTGATTCAAAGTGATATTCTAGTACTGCCTGTATTTTCTGAAATTTGATTTTCATAGAACTAAAAACATCCTGTTATCTCGTCAGAGAGAATCTTTACTAAGAAAACGGCAACAAGCTGATAGGAAAATCCAAATGAAGCCATTCAAATATCCATTATTCCTTTCGATCTTCAGTAACATTGAGTATAGAGAGAAAGTCAGCGTTCGTTATGAAGTTACCACATAATAGTTGCACATGGTTGGGAAAATGACCTACGAGGATTTTCTATTTGTAGAATGTACTTATTTATAGAGCAGTAATATTTTTGTAATTATGTTCTTTTTTGTCTAAGCAAATAATACTTATCCTGGCAATTAGTCGATGCATAATGAACGATATCAATAGCGATAGTGGCAAAACAGGATAAGTGTGCATGACATTTAGGTTGAGAGATAAAGACTAAGTAAACTCTCAACTTCTTCATTTCATACTTACTTTCATGTGCAACACGTCAGTTTATGATTGAAAATGATAAATTCTTAATACGACTTTTAGTTTAATAGATATTTGAAACTTTCGAAAAACTTCTATCTATTCATTATTTACATTTCTATTCGTTTTGTTTTGTTTTTAGACGAGAAAAGAATGATGCTCTATCGACTGATGCAATTGATGTCGAACTCGACAATATTTCTTGACATAACTAACCATATAGGTTGATAGGTGAATCAGGGAACCCATGATTGGTAACAGTCAATATGAGATCACATATTAAACTATTTGTGTGATTCATGTGGGCATATGATTGCATCTTGATTTTTCAAATGTATTGACACTTAATGTCAGGGTGTAATAGTACGACACCAAACACATACTAATGAATCACTCATGTTGTGCAAAAACGATTATTTTTTAGTTGTTGTGTTAATCAACCTTTTAAGGATCAAGAAAACAGAAATCATTGAAAAAAGCTAAAATTGCAATTTTTATTCTTCGATTCATTATTTTCATTCTTTCGATTAAAGTTTCAATCAATCTTCTATGATTATTTTGTTTCCATTTATTTCGATTTCTCTCTCAATTGTTGACTTGACAATTAAGAAAAACAACACACAACATAGAACAGCCGAATATCTTTAAAACAGTGTCATTTATAGAAATTTCGAAGTTTTCGAAAGATTTTCACGAAGTATGTATTGCTGATATAAACTTTTCCTATAACTTTTTCTCTCAAAACTCACCATCTATTATTGTAATTGTCTTCAATCATATCTCTTTGTGTCTGAAGTATAGTGGTTTGATCAAAAAACAAATTACTTAGTCTAGCAAAGCCATCATGTGTATTTTTCCTTTATTGAAAAGACTCGAATTAATTTTTGTCAATATTCATTTAAAACAATAATAGATAATATTTCTGTTTCTGTGCTCAATATTAATTTCGAACGCTTTAAAATGATAAAATACAGTTGCTAAGTAAATTTGTTTGAAAATCATATAGAGGTAAGCGAGCAACAAGTTTTCCATCTTTGTTCTCAACTAAGTAGGAAAGATCAGACTTAACTGAAACCTCATTACCGTCACTCTTAGATGCTATACAACGAAGTGTTTAAGCCTTCTAAACAAATATCACGGCATGAGGCAGCCGCATTTCCGTTCTCTTCTGAAATTGGAAATCCATCGTCATTGGCAACGCATGAATTGAGATCAAGGCTAGCATCCGATTCTGTTTTACCATCGGTAGATTTACAAATAACCTTCAATATAGTTCCATCAAGCTGAATATTTCGGCATGTCAAACGAATATCACTTATAATGTTGATATGGTAAGAACGACGTAAACGAATTGTTTTTCGTAGTCACCGAATGAAAAAATCACGCCTGCGCAATAAAACTTACTTATAGAGATTCATATACATACACTAATTAAAATCTAAGAGAAAAAAATCTCTTGATTCCTATGTGAGATATGAAACTTATATTTGTAATATGAAAGTAGATAAATGAAAGAACTACCTGCTTTTTATACTCAACAATATTACGTATTTGTGCTGCTGTTATTCAACGATTGACGATTGGAGAATAACTTTATGAATAAGTATATTTTTGACTGATCACTTCAGTTTTTCCTCGTTTTTAGTGAAGAAAAAACAAAAATGCTTTTAGCTTTTACACTTGATATGTGCACTGATCTGTGACATGTCAATAATATCCACAGATACGCATCGATATGAAGCTTGTAAAATGAACGATCACACACTCATACGTTTTTTGCTTTCTCTTATTCGAAAGGCTTTAATACAAAATCTTTTTTTTACACCGTAAACAAGAAATGTATTGTTTCTTATTTCTTGTAAGATTTGAATGTGTAAAACAAACGAAAATTGACGCGATACTTTAAGGTACTCAGTTAAAAATTGAATAAGTCGAGAGCACAAACAGCTATCGATCTGCAGTTTTCATTATTCGAAAGAGACGAAATGGAAATGCATTTTTCTCTCACAATATTTCGGACAAAATCATTTTGGAACCAAGGGTTTCCAAAAAATATTCAACAAAATCTATGAAAATGGTTTTTGATTCAGATGAAATTTTGATTTTGACATATCTCCTAGATAGACAAACTTGAGATCGATAGTGGAACTTCTTATATCCTAGTACTGAGCAACATAAAATTGCATATCTGTTGGATCAAGTACTGTGGAATTACGTAGATTTTAAAACAAATTTTCTAATTTGTTTAAAAAATTTTATCCGAATCATACACCATTCTCGTACATGTTGTTGAATGTTTTATAGCCAGTATTGGTTTCAAAATGCTTTTGTCTGAAATATTATCGGAGAAAAAGACGTCCCCATATCGTCACTATCGGCTGCTGAAAACCTCATATCGCTAGCTGCTTGTGTTCCCGACTTATTCAATTTTTAACCAACCAACTATAAGTTCTGCACTGACATTAATTGATCGAATGCATCTTTTCTAAAATCAAAACAAAAAATTAAGTTTTTCAATTAAATTCTACATTTAACTAGAAAAAACTAGTTTATTATACAAAACCATGACGAATCTAACGCATTATCATTCATTTAATAGATTTGTCGATATGTTGACTTTTTCTCAATATACTACTTCGTTTTCATCAATGATAATGAGGGTGGGTGTGGGTGTGTGTATATAGATGCTTAGTGTTAGACTTCTAGTCACCCATAATCACATGCACACGATACTCAACCGCACTCTTCTCCAACCAATTTGAAAGTTGTTGCTATTACTATAAAATTTAGCCTTCAATTAAGGATAAAACTGAAGTTAGAAGTGGATGTATGAAAGTGGTGGCTTAAGTGCCTTGCCTTCACATACTCCTCTCATCCTGATTTTAACATTATTTCAGTATAAGTTTATTTCTAGGTGAACTAGTGAAAAGCATATATACATCACAATGGGTTAGTGTTGTGGTTAAAATAGATATTTTTTTTTTAGTTTTCAATCAAGCACTTGATTCGAATGATAGACTATGCTGTCGATCATAACAATCATCATTGTTGATAATCTAAAGGAAAAAATTGAATGATCATATTGTCATTATGAGCGGGTTGTTTTCATGTCCTAGCGAACTATCAAAAATGAAAAACTTTGTAGACTGTACAGAACATTGCATATGGTGGCAGTAAAAGTCATATAGAAAATGTATGACACATTTTGTTTCTTATTTAGTTAGAATATATAAGCTATTATTCTTAGTTCAGATGGACAGATAACAAGAATTAAATTTCTTGAAGATTACTTCAAATATTTGGTGAAAAGAGTTTATTGTTGTGTAGAAGAGAGTCCGATTGATACGCATGTACCGAATAAACCATAAATAAGTCGTTTATGAGAGTTGGACAGAATGATTATTAGCTATGATCTCCGTATATGCTTCCTATCTGTAAAAAAAGCCATATTTTCAAGAAATGAAAGAATGCTCTTTGTTTTATGACCAAGCAATTGCGCCCTAGTACAGCTTGATTGGAAAGTAAAGATGGCAACCCAGACCAAAAATATGGGACAGCAAATGTCAGAATCCCATGGATTTCTAGCGAATTTCGAAAGCCGAATTTCTAAATCGGTCTGGGCTAAGAGCTAGTACCTATTCCGGAATTCGAGAGTGACGTTCGATACGGTTCCAACTACATTTCCGATGTTTTAAGACGGCAACGGGAACAGATTGTATTCAATTTGACTGTCGTGTGCGGATCTGACGACAAGACATTACCTCAAGAGCTTGTTCTGTTCAGTTGGACTATCTAAAAAACTATCAACAAATGGATTAAGGACTCTTGTTGAAAGCACATACTTGAAGAAAACTGCTTTAAATTAGTCTATAATTAATGTGCATGAAATAATTTCAAAAATAGTCGCTTGGAAGCTAAGTCGTATACTAACAGTATAATCGATTTCGATTTGCTTTGTGTTAGTGTCTAGGTAGATCTATTAACTGTAAGCATTAGAAAATGACTCGCTGCAATCTATATAGACTATCCTATGCTGAACAATCGAGTCTCCGTATATTCATATAGAATGCGCACAGAAATCACTACTTGATCGGAGGTCTCGAACTCACTATACGTCATCAGGTCACACATTAGGTGAGCCACGTATTAGCAAGCGGCATGTACCTTATGTATATACGCTCATGATACACTATCGCTTATTCTACTGATATTGAGGCTATCAGTCAAATGTGTTAAAAATCGATTAAAAACCATCAAATTCTCTATCAAAATACAACAAACGTAATCGAACTTCAAATTTCACGATTATTTCATGAATAGTTACCGCCACATCTACAGGTACTTCACATATCTGCGGAAGTGAAAAATAGGTAATATTTTTGATATTCTACAAATCTATTTCTTAAAAGAAGGTTTTACGAAGATTTTCCACTAGGTAGTGATATGATCTATAATTTTGAAAGCTCGCTAATGAATAAGTCTGATTTGTATGTGCATTCATCTTTTCCATATAGCACCAGGAGTTAACCAGCGCCCAAAGCCCTGCCAAAACACATACTCATATGCAACACGAAAAGACTTAACGATGCAGTCTTCCTAAGTCATCACGTAAGCTAAAATCTCATATGAGATGACTTCGTTCAATCTAAACCTGTTCTAATCTAAAAATAAAACTTTTTATAAATATTACTTCTTCAGGATATCTCATTTGCAAGCTGTGTAAAAACCACCAATACAAAGTTTTCAGCAATGAAAAGTCCTTGCAGATCATGTTTCTTGAGACACTGAATTTACAAACTCTTATTCAGATTCAAATGCCTACGTCAGAAGAACAAAGTCTTGTCACATGTGTTTCTAATTTACTAGTGATTTGAGTCTCAATAATACTTAAAAATAGAGTTATATGAAAACAATGACTTTCAGTGATCTTCGGTGAGTGGTCTATGATTCACACAGAATATTAGAAATTCAAGTTGCTGAATAATAAAAGAGAATCCTTCATGATTTTTTTCCTAACATCAAAAAGTTTATGTTGGATATAGTTGACTTTTGTTGTGCCCCCGCGAAATCACTATCTGATTCAGATATCATTTCACACGGATACCAATGATTCCTGACTTCACTCCTTTTGGATTTCACTTGGTTCTGTCGGAATACCGTATTATTTCGTCATGTTGTCAGTGGTGGAAAGTGCTCGGAAGAGGAGAGTTCTTATACGGCGTTTTTTCAGAAGGTTTCGACAGTATCCGTTGGTCTGAATCATCGACTTCGGAAGAAATGAAAATTTTTCCAAATGGCCTGTTGATAAACTGCCAAATTTTGTCTACCAATAAACTTAAGAATAGTTCTCGAAAGATATGAACTAGGTTGATAAAATTATGATTGAATACGCGATTTTGTCTGAACTATTGATCTATTGAAATGATTAGGCTGACAGTTGTTATTGCACCTACAGAAATATTTGAGGATGTACATGCAGATAAAAGCATTTCCAAACAGACATCATGCTCTCATCCATCTTTTATTTTTCGAGATAATATTTGACATTAAACTTAGATAGCACTGCAGTTTAAATTTCAGTATAATCTACCTTTTAAGGCTTAATTTTTTTTTAATAGGAGTAATGAATGTTTGATTTAAATATTTCGCTGAACCATCGACTTGAACTACACCAGCCATAAGACTTAGTTTCATGGATCCTTCAATATTAAGCTTATTAAGTGTATCTTTTTGAGATAGATTCTCATCCACATAAAAATCGGAACTTGCACAATCTGTTGTGGAAATCAATGATGGTGCCAGTTCTCGATTGAATAAATTTCCACCTTCAAATTGATTGCTACGAATATCATATAAACTGCCAATGAATCCATGTCGACCAATGGCTTGTTTTGAAATTGCCGAATCGATGCCACTCATTTGTCAACTAACAAAAGTAAGTCAAAATACACGGTGTAGTTTATCTGGAATGAAAAATAATAAGTCCTACAGGCGAATGTGTTACTTGTATTTGTACGGTTACCTTGGTATACTGAAATTACAGACATAAGCAGTCGTGGATAACAGACCCGAAACTACTTGCCTTGAGTTCAATAGTAACGGAAAAACACTACACGATATCAATGAGATGAATTCCGTTGCTCTGGAACAAGTCAAATCCTGTGGAAATTTGATTTGCTAGAAAATATTGGCTAAAGTTTTCACTAGTGCAGTTTTTTTTATTTTTGTGCACGTTAAAATTTGTATTCAGTATGTTGAGAGGATTAATATGGGTGTGGGTTAAGTTATTTTTATCAACACCCACACCTTCAAGCGAAGCGCTTTTTGACGAAAGTACCCGCAATTGCTGCATAAAACGTTCTATTCAGGAACTAGCACAACTACTCTGAGAGATAGCATAGACTCTATGATGAGCGTCAGCAAGGAATAACGAATCGGCAGAATTCCGAAATTCACTTGCTGGCGTCGAGTGCTCTTGCTTGCCAGCAAGTACATTTCAAAAACACCAATATTCGATGTGAAATCAAATTCTGCGTCAAGCACATACACAGTCACGAATGTTGGCAAAGATTAATAGTAGAATCGCTAAGAGAACGCAACTTTTCGCCCATAATCACTATTTACCGTAATACGATCTCCTTCGAAAACATCATCATTCCAGAAGCAATTGAACTCTCCATTCAGCAGAAGCACTTCTGGAGTGAATGTCAGCAGAAAATGTGTAACCAATTGACCTTTGTGTCGGTATTTCGACGCTAAGAGCCCTCTATGATGAATGAACCTCGATGAAAAAACTATTCGATAGAGAATTGAATTCTCTATGCAGCATAGTGAATTGAGGGGTCAGTAGACATTTTCCTGAGTCCGATGCAGGGTCAATGGTCGGCTCAATATATTATTGTGTTTTGGGGCCGTAATCAGATATTTTTGTCGTATGATCCCCATCGAAAATAGCACCATTCGATGCCGAATCACATTCTAAATTCAGCACAACCTATTAGAAATCTACCACAGATGTAAGAACGACTGTCAACAAGAAAAACTGGAATCCACTGCTAACTTTCCTTATGCTATACAATCCATGAAGACATTGTCAATGCTTCTCCTTTGCCGAAAAATAAATCGAATTTACGGAAATATTTCACAAACCTTCTGGCCACATTCCAATAGAAGATACTCGGTAGCCCACCGATTACGGTAACTCGAAACAAGGGATATAGCTTTGTTGCACAAAAGATTTGACCATCAAAAACTAGATAGTACACATCAGTAGAGCTGGTCAGCTTATATTCGCCACCAGAATAGCAACGGCACAAAGGTTTCCTGGACGAATCCAGGAAGTACTTTTCAGGGTAGGTGTTTCCCATGAAAAAAAAACCGAAAAATCGATTCTTAAGGTGGCTGGTTTGAACTATGGAAAATCTGATTATACCAATCGATAGAGTTTGTTCAGTTCTACTTGAAAACAAGAATAGAACATTTGGAATAAGTTTCTCGCGATTTCGTGGTAGAAATACTCGAATACGTTGACAACTTCATCTACGTTAAACTTATAAGACTGTATAAGCACGGGTAGGATAAACAGGATAGATACAAATTTCTATTAAAAAATGCGCTATTAACGAAAAAAAGAACTCACTGTAAAATATGCATTCTCGAACAACATGTTTGCGCTTTAATAAAAACAAAACTCATGCCAATACGTTTAAAAATATGTGTCTAAAGTCTAGCAAGAAGATGAGAGCGGAAAAAAGCGCGTTCAAACTGTGTTTTTCGTAGTGTTTTTTTGTGCGAAGACTTTCATTTCTCACAAATTCTTTTTTCAAAAGTATAGTCTACTGTATATTTTGACATTGTCACTAAAATGTGGTTTGGCGATCAGTTGAATCTTTAACACATGAAAAATCTTCTCTTAAAATAATTATATAATTCTCAATTACAAAAAGTTCTTCAAATACTATTGATATTCGACGATTTTCATTATATTCTGTAACTTACAGAGTGTCGACATCAATACGATACGGGGTATTCTGCTTGCATTAGTCTTATCTAATCCTTCTCTCTCTCTTGTTATCTCGACAAGGAAGCATACAGACTTTTCTCCATAGTCTTGTGATGTTGTCTCAACTGGCATAGAAAGAGCGACTGAATGTAGAAAAACATGATATGATAGGACGGTAAAAAGGATAAATATTGACATGGCGTGATTGTTTTACACCTATTCTTTCTTCTCTCGTCGTATTTTTATCAAGCAATATATACACCCGCAAGCTGCAGGCAAGATTTTTCCTCTTTTTCACCAAATTTGTCTTCTCTTCGTCATTTACAGAAGGAAGACAAAAGGGCTTCTCCATAATTTTGTGACGCTCTCTCAACTGATCCAGAAGTGACTGCTAGATGTAGAAGAAAAAAATGATAGGACAGCGAAGAAAATAAATATTGGCGTGGCGCAAACATGTTGTGCTGCTTTTTCTCTCTTCGCTCACTCTATTTTTATCACGTAGTGTATACATCAANTGTCTTCCATGGGAAAAATTATCTCGATGTTGGACTTTTAGATGTTTAACTAAGAGTATATTCCAATCATATCTAAATATAGAACATTAGACCATATCTTTATTTCCATGAAAAATTGAAGATACACAGACTGATATATATATCTTTCTTAGTTACTAGAAAATAGACTCAGTCTAGTATTGTCAATTCTTTCAACATACCTACTCAACAGCTAGCCATATCGGCTTACATGAAGTAGTAGTAATGACTTTTACTAGAGGTGTGTGCATAGATACTCAACCCGACAATATCATATCCTCTCAGGTGGAATGAGGTGGCAAGGCAGAATAGAGTAACAATTAGCAATTTTTTCTGACTCAGAGTATATGGTACGAAAAAGCTTATCCTGCAATTCACTAACCAGCACCCTGCTTCCGTTCGCATTACTTTACTAAATAGGCATATGCGGTGGGGAGGTTTTCTCGTGTAGATGCTTATCAGGTATTATAATCGTTCATGCAATATAAAAATCAACCTGAGTTGAACAAGGTCAGAAATTTGATTATTTCCACTGTATACAAGTTTGATGATCCACAGTGATAAGGAAGTCTTTCACTCCTGTCTTGTTGCCGAGATCAGGGATGCATAAGTTGTGCATTTTTTTCTTGTTCACGTGCTCTTGAAGAGTTATTCACTATTTTTTATGAGCGCAATATCAAAAGTCATTGGCGGCCAGTCAATGTTTTAAACTTCATTGTTCTTCTTCCATTTGATTACAGCTTCGACGTATGCTTGAAGTTATTGTCTTTTTACTGTTTTGAATTAGTTGAGTCGGAAACAGATCGTTTCATGACTGTTAGTAAGCGATCACATTTTTAAATGTCGTATATCGATTTTGCATCCAAATTCTCACTAAAATAGACGATGCAACGAAACCCATAACTTGAGAAGAAAACCTTTCTCATCGTTCGATAAAGACTACAGATTATGCTAAAGAAATTTATTATGATAACGATAAACTAGACAGCTATCATAAGTTACATTCAGTTTAAAGTAACGAGTTTTTCTCTCAAAATGTTGAACTCACTGGTCTAAACTATTTTTAATCTACTATGAGTTACTCTAAACAACAAGTAGTTTTCAGATCATCTTTTTCATACAAAAGTATCAGAAAAGAATCTGTTTTGTCAAGAAAGTTATGCCGAACGCTGGCATCATGCCAGCTTGAAAATTTCAAGATATTGAGAAACCTAAACATATGAAAACTCTAGTGTAGAATTTTGAACTTGATAGCTCATTTTGTTGTTTTATTTTCAACAGTACTCGTATACAAATTGAGAAGCCTTTCAGTTGTGTTAAATCATGGTTTCAAAGAAGAAACCATCAAATTTATTGATTCTTATGATGAAATGATACCTGTATTGAAGAAAGTGAAGTGAAGACAAACCATAGATGTTGTTCAACATCAAACCAGTAGATGAAAAGTTTGGAAAGCATTCTTTCTTTGTTCTTCGAATTAGTGTATTAGAAACGTAAATAGATACAGAAGTCTCACTTTGTATGTATTCGTGGAAGTGTATTATCAATTGCTACTCAAAAGAAATATTTTGTCGATAAAGTGAAGAATTTCAACTGACCAGCCTAGTTGGGTTGGAAAAAATTCAATCGGTTCCCATTCTGACTTGTCTTGCTAAGAGCTACATCGGATAAGATCGAGGTGTAATATCTTTCAGTTTTTCTGACTACGCTATGAAACATTTTCTTTTATCAATGTCGTTGTCAAATAATCGGTGGGTTCTGGTCTATGGTTGATTGATAACTATAAATATCAGAGGCAGTCCAATCGAAAAAATTAACAGTCCACAGAGTAATCTAAATTATGAAGCTTGTCACATTCCCGAAAAAAATATATAGCCTAGAGATAATAGCTGTTTTCTGAACGCATTTTGGACATGTACAATGGACACCTATTCTTTGTTTATCACATATTTCATACAGATAATAATCGATGATACTGTGATAAATCTGTTCCCGAAGATCATATTCAAGAGATCATCACGCTGTATTACAGAAGCCAGTTGGCAAAGAATTCCTCAGTTTACGTGGAAACAGTCATCAGATGTTTATATGACGTTCCTTTCGCTCTGTTAAAAACTTTTATTTATTATATTTGCAGTTCAAAATAATATAATACTACTTTTTACCCGGTATGTTTAACTTCTAATCTATCTTTTGCGAAGTAATCTTTTCAAACTTTGAACCTGTGCTAGTAAACATTCTTTCAAGCAACCAAGTTAGTTTTTAGTTTAGTTTGAGTTGAGACAAGAAATGTTGGTTCGATCTTGGTTGCTGCCAGTTGCTCTTGTGTATAAATCTATTCTTCTCGAGCAGTAATAACTTTGCTGTACCATAGATTTAATATA